TTTTGCTATATATATAGGTTATTCTTAATGGATAAGAGTTGGATAAACATATCGAATAGGAATGATCCTTTATATGAGAATGGAGCCAAAAAGTTTCTTTATTTTGCCTCATTAGATAGGCCTAATGCATCTGAGATCTTGCGTCCATGTCGGAAGTGTCGTAATATGAAATTTATCCTGAAAGAGTTGATTGTTGAACATATTGTGGTTGATGAATTTCTACGTAGTTACGTTAATTGGATTTTTCATGGTGAGACATCATCTTCATCAATGTCTGTGGATAGATTAGATAGAGGTGATGAGATACAAGACTTGGTGCATGATGCTTTTGGAGTTCCTCCTACTAGTGACTTTATTAATACGGACACTCGTGGTGATAGTTTTGGTGGGTTAAATCAACATAATGTGGGATTTGATAAGAAAACAGAGAAGTTTTTTAACTTATTGAAGGAAGCTGAGCGTGAATTATATCCCGGAAGCAAATATTCACTTCTTTCTTTTCTTGTTCGTTTATTACATTTAAAGTGTCTCAATGGGTGGAGTAACAATTCATTTTTCATGCTGTTAGAGTTGTTAAAAGATGTGTTTCCTGAAGGTGAAATGTTACCTAAATCCTTTAATGATGCAAAAAAAATTATTAAAGATTTAGGACTCGAATACAAAAAAATACATGCGTGTCCAAATGATTGTATGATCTATTGGAGTGAGACAAAAGATCGAACTGATTGTAAGTTTTGCAAAGCTCCAAGATACAAATAATTTGTAGGTGAATCTGGTAGTTTGGAAACCTCAAAAAAATCCAGCAAAGGTGTTTAGATACTTTCCATTGATACCGAGGCTTCAAAGATTATTTATGTCATCAAAAAAATCTACTGATATGAGATGGCATGCAGAAGGTCGCATTAAAGATGGGGTAATGCGGCATCCTGCTGATAGTATTTCTTGGAGAAAATTTGATGAATCGCATCAAGATTTTTCTCAAGATCCTCTAAATGTTAGACTTGGATTAGCTTCAGATGGATTTAATCCATTCAAGTCTATGTCTATCTCACATAGCACATGGCCAGTTGTCTTGGTTCCATATAACTTGCCACCATGGTTGTGCATGAAGCAACCATACATGATATTATCAATGATTATTGATGGCCCTCATGCACCGGGCAATGATATTGATGTCTATCTATGACCGTTAATTGATGAGTTAAAAGAATTGTAGGTTGGTGTTGACACTTATGATGCATCAAAGAATCATATGTTTCAAATGCGTGCTTCATTGCTTTGGACAGTCAGTGATTTTCCAGCACTAGGTAAATTATCAGAATATGGTGTGAAAACTAGATATGCTTGTCCATGTTGTCTGACCAAGACTAAATTTCTGAGATTGAAATATGGGCGAAAATATTGTTTTATGTCGCACATGCGGTGGTTACCCCATGGGCACAAGTTTCGAAAAGATAAAGTTTTGTTTGATGGTTTTAAGGAGTTAGAGGCAGCACCTAAATGTTTGTCAGGTACTGAAGTTCTTAAGCAATTGAAAGGTATTAAAAATAAATTCGGAAAATGTCCATCGACCAAATCCCAGAAAAGAAAATGGAAGAATTCTGATCATGTTGATGATGCCATGTTGCAATATTTATGGAAGAAAAAGAGCATATTTTTTGAGTTAGACTACTGGAAAGATAATATGATTCGTCATAATCTTGACACAATGCATATTGAAAAGAATGTATTTGACAATATATTTTGGACATTACTAAATGTTGACGGGAAAGGAAAAGACAATTTGAATTCTCGGTTGGATTTACAAGAGATGGGGATTCGAAAGGCGTTGCACCCTTAAAAAAGAGCTAATGGCAAATAGTATCTACCTCCGACATGTTTCACCTTGAGCGATGCACAAAAAGATATGCTCTTACAAGTTTTAAGAGATGTGAAAGTACCGGATGGATATGCTTCAAATATATCACGTTGTGTTGATCTTAAGCAACGCACTGTGCATGGATTGAAGAGTCATGACTGCCATATTTTAATGCAACAACTCCTTCCTATTGCTTTGCGAGGCCTCCTTCCCATGAATGTCCTTAAGCCAATTATCGAATTAAGTAACCTTTTTAGGGGCATTTGTTCAACAGTTATGAATATAGGTGAATTAGAAAAGCTCCAAGATCGAGTTGCAATAACTCTTTGTCATTTGGAGAGAATATTTCCTCCATCTTTTTTTGATATCATGGAACATCTAGTCATCCATTTAGCTGAAGAGGCAAAGATTGGTGGACCTCCACAATACCGTTCGATGTGGGCATTTGAAAGGTATCATGTTGTTATTCTTATTTATAGTACTTATGAAGTATTATATTGAACTATAATATTATTTATTATTTTAGGTACTTGCTTACTCTTAAAAATTATGTAAGGAGTAGAAGCTATCCAGAAGGTTCAATTGCAGAGGAATATTGGATAGAAGAGTGCATGACATTCTGCTCAAGATATTTACATGATGTAGAGACAAAGTTAAATCGACCTTTAAGAAATTATGGTTTGTATAATGAGATTCCAAATCAAGAGGGTCGTCAGTCAACTAAAATTGACGGGTTTATGCTTGATGACATTACCCATGCCCAAGCACACATATATGTTTTATTTAATTCTACTACCATAACTCCATATCGCAAGTAAGTATCAATAATATTCTGCTTTAAAATTAATTATTAGGTTATAATATTTATAATTTCTTTATTAAGTTTTTATGTGTTTTACTTTTGCAGTGAGCATATAAAAGAAATCAAGAAGCAAAATCCTCGTCTATCGAGACATGATGTGGATCGGATTCACAATAAAAAATTTCACATATGGTTTAGAAAATATGTAATTGTGAACCAGCTAAAATGCTTTTACACACACACACACACACACTATATAGAACATCATTTTTTAATTAGTTCTTGCTTATTTATAATTGATAGGTTGAGAAGATACATATGGCAGGTGAGCAAATACCAGAAGAAATTCAAAATCTAGCTATTGGCCCATCAAAGCAATCAAAAAGGATGAGCGGATACATAAGTAATGGAGTTAGATACCTAACAAAGTCTCGTGATGCAAAGCTAAAAACACAAAATAGTGGAGTTATGGTAAAGGATGCCACTCAGAGCTATGCAAGCGCAAGAGACAGAAATCCCATATTAGCAGAAGTCACCTTTTATGGAATTCTCACGGACATAATTGAGTTGTATTATATCGCAAACCTTAAATTTATTCTATTTAGATGTGAATGAGTGGACAATAACAAGGGGCTTATTGTGGAAGATGATTATGGATTTACTCTTGTTAATTTTTCTCATCTACTCTATAAAAGGCAGCACCCGTCAAATGAACCTTTCATCTTTGCTTCTCAAGCTCAACAGGTGTTTTATGTCGATCATCCAATGGCAAAAGAATGGCAGATTGTAGTAGAAATTAAACCAAGAGGTTTTTATAATTTAGGTGAAAACAAACCAGCAAATGAGCATATAGAAGAGCACATGGAATTGTGGCCAGAACAACAGCCGGATGATACTATATTTGAAAATGAAGAGGATATTGAATGGGTTAGAGAATGTGTGCCGGGAATAGAAATTGACCCACTTACTTTGGAAAGCAATGAGACATATGATGAAGAAGATGACATATCTTAGTTACTTTTATTATTTTTATCATTATTTTAGTAAAGATTGTTATTGAACATATATAGATCATCGTGTTGGGGATTTCTTACTATGTGTTTTAGTTGTTTAAATCTCGTATGTGCATGCGTCTTTTTCTTTGGCTTGTTAGTTTGATATTATTTTATACTTTTGGATAGTAGAAAATATTTTTCAATTTTGCAGGAACTATAGTATTTGAGCAACTGTATTGTGATGGCAAGAAAAAGACAGAGAAATTCCAGTCAAGAAATGCTTCTGCCTGATTTTTCGGAGCAACAAGAAGAACAAATGGGATGTGCGACAATGCCTCAACCACCTCAAAACTGGCCACAAAATGAAGGACAAGCTATCCGATCTAGTAAATCAAGAAATGATTCACATGAAATAGAAAATTCCCTAGGTACTTATTCTGTATAATATCTTATCTTTCTTGAATAGTTACACTTTGTGTATTTGTACACTTTTTTATAAGCAACCTCTTTTTTATGTTTGGTTATTGCAGACTCTAGTGCTAGTGAAGAGTAATCTAAGCAACCTAGGGGTCCTACTATGATGCACTCGGGATGGGGAAAAGATGGTGGCATTTTACTTGTTGAGTTCAATGATCTTAGCCAAGCTATTGGGCCTGATGCAGCTAGATTGAGTTCAAAACTTGGTGTCATAGCACGAAATGGCATTTTAGCTCCCTTAAATCATAAAGTGTCACGACCCAAAATCCAACTAGTCGTGATGGCACCTAACCCAACCCGCTAGGTAAGCCAACTTTCAACTATCTAATTCCAATAATAATTAATAAAGAAATTTAAGTAAATAAATATCTTAACCTTATATATTCCCCAAGAACTGGTAGTACAAATCATGAGCTTCTAAGAATAGCGTATACAAAGCGGAAATAAAATAATACATAGTCTGTTTGAATAATACATAAACAGAGCTTTTATAAATTTAAGGCTACCCTGAACAAGAGGCAGCTACAACAGGAATGCAGGTACATCTTCAAGTCCCGCAACCATCAAGCACAGCAACAACAACAGCCAACATCTACACGCAATGTGCAGAAGTATAGTATCAGTACAACCGACCCCATGTACTGAGTAAGTAACAAACCTAGCCATAGGTTGAAAGTAGTGACGAGTTTCCACCTAGGTCAGGTCTAAAATCAATAGTCCACAACAATCCATTACAACATAAAGCAAATAATGTCAGAAGTAACTCAGGGATAAAATACCCAGCCAAATCATGATTTAAAATATAGTAGTTCTTTCTTTCAAATACATCAGTGAAAAAAAAATCAAATCGCTTGCTGGAGTTGCCAAAAATATGAATAGTTTGGAAAAAAAAAATTTCTTCCAAAATCTTGTCAATAATAAATAAGATATTTCATTTTTCTTCCGGATAACCCGTGTAAAAACAAATGCATCACTATGCCCATCTGTCAACAATGCGTGAAAAATCATGAATGATGTAATGCAGTACAGCACGAGAAAATACATCTCTCTGCATGTATGTCATGTGTGCATGCCAATGCAATGCAACTCAATGATAAGATCATAAACAGCCCCTCGGGCAGAACATCACTCATATACAACCCCTCGGGCAAAATCTCACAGTCACTCGTGCCACTCGAGCATACCTCACAATCACTCTTGCCACTCGGGCATACCTCACAATCACTCTTGCTACTCGGGCATACCTCACAATCACTCATGCCTTCCAGTCACTCAGCACTCGGCACTCGCACTCAGTAGGTACCTGCGCTCACTAGGGGTGTGTACAGACTCTAGAGGGGCTCCTTCAGTCCAAGCGCTATAATCTGCACAGATAACTCACGTGCTGCACGGACAACTCACGTGCTATAATAATAAAGTATGCTGCAGGCGGGCAACCCCGATCCACACTCATCCTCACAAATCAGGCCCTCAACCGATATCAAACATGCTGCGACGTGTAGCCCGATCCCATAAATATGTCACATGCTGCGGCGTGCAGCCCGATCCCATAAATATGCAACATAAATCAGGCCCTCGGCCTCACTCAGTCATAAACCTCTCAAGCCACTCGGGCATCTCAGTAAAACAGGGCATTCAGACCAAAATATTTATATGCATCAAAATAGAATCATAAAACTGAGTTGTGATATGCAATGAAATAAATATGACTGAGTATGAATTTTTTAATTTAACACAATAATTCACAGCAATATGACCTCTATGGATCCCAATAATACTGGCACATAGCCTCAACATCATTTTTAATATGCTTTTCAGCTCAATTTCTTTAACACATAAAACCGCATGGAAAATGCCAAGATTATTTAACTATAAAATTCCACATATATAATTATGTCATAATTTTTATAGTGCACGCCCACACGGCCGTCACCTAGCATGTGCGTCACCTCCCAACAATTCACAAAATACATATATTCAGGGTTCATACCCTCAACTCCAAGATTAGAAGAGTTACTTACCTCGAACAAGACAAATCCAATGTCGAGCAAGTTATGCAATGCTCCAGTAATTCCACTCTGCGTGTATCAACTTCCACACGACTCGAATCTAGTCACAATTAATTTGATTCAGCCCACAAATTTATAGGAATTAATTCCATATCAAAATACTAATATTTTCACAAAATTCGAAATTACGCCCCAAAAAATTACCCGTGGGGCCCACGTCTCGGAATCAGATAAAACTCACAAAATATGAACTCCCATTCAACCACGAGTCCAACCATACCAAAATTACTCAAATCCGACCATAACTCGCCCTTCAAATCCTCAATTTAAACTAAGAGAGTTTTCAAACTTTTCCAACTTAATTCACCAATTAAATGATAAAAACAACCATGGATTTGGGTAATTTAACCAATATTGAGTTAAGAACACTTACCCCGTTGTTTTCTCTGAAAATCTCCAAAATATCGCCTCAATCCGAGCTCCAAATCGTTAAAAATGGATTTTCTGAACTTAAACTTTCTGTCCAGACCCCTCTTCTTCGCGAACGCGACAGGTCCCTCGCATTCGCGAAGCACAAAATGTGCTTCCCAACATTTGCTCTTCGCGAACGCGAGACACTATTCGAGAACGCGATGCTTTACGGCGCCCTTCTTCGTGAACGCGAGCTCCCCCTTCGCGAACGCGAAGGCAAAAGTCCATGCCCACTATGTTTCCCTTCGCGAACGCGAAGGCAAAAGTCCATGCCCACTATGTTTCCCTTCGCGAACGCGAGACCTCTTAGCGAACACGAAGAGTAAATCCTTCCTGCCACAAATTCCTCTTCGCGAACGCGAGGGCCCACTCGCTAACGCGAAAGAGAAAATTCGAAAAATGCAGCAACAGATATCAGCAATCTTACCAAGGCAAAAAATGATCCGTTAACCATCCAAAACTCACCCGAGCCCTTCGGGACCTCAACCAAATATACCAACAAGTCCTAAAACATCATACGGACTTAGTTGAACCCTCAAATCACCTCAAACAACGCTAAAACCATGAATTACACCCCAATGCCTAATGAACTTTGAAGTTTTTAGTTTCTACAACTTGCGCTGAAACACATCAAATCACGTCTGATTGACATCAAATTTTGCACACAAGTCATAAACGACATAACGGAGCTATTCCAATTTTCAGAATCGGATTCCGACCTCGATATCAAAAAGTCAACTCCCCGGTCAAACTTTTCAAAAATTCAACTTTCGGCATTCCAAGCCTAATTCCACTACGGACCTCCAAATAATTTTTCGGACACACTCCTAAGTCCAAAATCACCATACGGAGCTATTGGAATCATCAGAATTAAATTCCGAGGTCGTTTACCCATAAGTCGACATCCGGTCACTATTTTAACTTAAGTTTTAAACCTTGGAACTAAGTATTTCAATTCATTCCAAAACCTCACCGGACCCGAACCAATTACCCCGACAATTCACACAACAAATGTAAAGTACAATTTGAGCGATAAAGGGGGAAGCGAGGTTGTAGTACTCAAAACGACCGGCCGGGTGGTTAAATTCTCCCCCACTTAAACATACATTCGTCCTCAAACGTGCCAAGAGTTGTTTCCAAGCCATCAAATCACTGTTCCATCTTACCACACACGTACCCAGGGGTGAACCCACGTCACCTTATCCTACATAGGCTTGACTACACAATGCAACTGAAAATCATTAATTTAACCTTAGCCCATAAACCTTGGAGTTTAATTTCCAACCTTTAAAATTTCTTTCAAGACACGAATCTTACATTTCCACACTGTATAAGTCCGAATAAGCTGCATCGAGCTATAGCTATAACCACGGATATAATCACCCAGCATATTACACAACTCGCATGCTCTTAGCACCATTCCTGATCGCAGTGACTACTCCAAAACCAACCGCATACTGGTATTAAACCCATATCGAACCAAACCTCATCCCAAAACCTTCGTACACTATTGATAATAAAAGAAACACGCAGAATCTCGTAACCCTTTATCAGACCAATAAGTCATGGAGGTCTCTTGCCCTAACCGGAACCATAATCACTTTCTGAGCTGACTTTCAATATTATACTCCTGAATATACCGAAATTAAACCTAATAGTACCCATTCCTGGTCCAATGACCTTATATTACTAAACATAACTGCTCCACAGACATACCGCACCAATATAACTCGGAGCCACAACTCGTGCTATCCATGCACTAATACGCAACAATTCAAATGTACCCAGTCGTGGAAAATGACTCAAATGAGAGAACTGCCCTGCCAGATTAACAAGTACTTCCACAACGAAACGCTGAAAATTCATCATACACCGTAGAACCATCACCCAATTCTAACACGTGGTTCATATTATATACCCCGAGCCACCCTGCTCCAATTTAATAACGACAGAGAGGCAAATGACAAAAATACCACACAAAACCTGAAAGGACATTACCATTACGCT